TGTGTGTGTGTGTGTGTGTGTGTGTGTGTGTGTGTGTGTGTGTGTGTTAAGAGTGGGGCACTCACTTTTCTCCCTCCACCTTACTGGTTTAAAGCTTTTTTGATTAGATTTGTTTGGACGCAAACACATTCTTTCATTTAAATATGCATTTATTAATATCTACAGGCAGCGTGCTAGATGCTGGGTATATAAAGACAAACACAACTAAGTACATACCTAATGTCATTTGAACCTTTCTACAACCGAATAAAGAAATTGGCATGGCTACTATTATCCTATCTTAGAGTTCAGAAAAGTGAGGTGGGTTGTAAGATCCTGTATGTGCACTATAAGTGGCAAAGTCCAAACTTTAAATCAGTTCTGGCTCTATTGAAATCAAGTGTTTTTCCTACTATACCAAGTTGCTTCTATTGTGTTATGTATGTATCTACACCTTGGGTCCATGTCTATGATTTCCACTACTCCCAGAATGTGAAGACTATACTCTTTCTAAATACTCTAAACACTCTCCACCAATGTAGACCAGCAACTCATCTGTAACTTTGAATCTCAGAGAGTGACTGAGGCACTAAGAGACAGGTTTCTATTTGTCCAGAGTCACAGAGTCAAGACATATCAGAGAGAGGACTTGAACAAAGTCTCTTCTTACTCCAAGGCTAGTCTGCTATCCATGATGTTCACAATGCCTCTCCTACTTACACTTTACACTGGGTGTACAATAAAGAGCTGAACTGGCTACAATATTCATCTAAAATTTAATGACAAAGATTAAACTGGAGGACCTAAGTTCAAACACTTATTAAATATTTACTAAAGGAAAAGTGCTATGATTTAGGAATGGATTAGCTTGTATCCTAATACAAGTATATGCAAAAAACTAGCAAAGATTAATCTGACCTGAAAAATATGCAGATGAGCCAAACTGTGCTGTCTGGCCATTTTATCACAATTTTACACTTAAATCTGTATGTGAATAGACTGACACTGTCCATTTTCAAGCTGCCATGTTTAAGAACCAAGTTCCAAAATTTAGGTTGAGCATGGAGGTAATGGGATGAGGTCTGATGGCCAGAACATACCCTAATACACTTTGCTCTTAAAAGGTCCGCTAAAACTTAAGACCTCAACCTAATTTACATCCCTCATCCTTTGCCCCTTGGACTCTGGACTCTGAGCTTTTCCCTTATCTTGCCCAGAACCAGGCCTCCACATCACTTCTAGATCATTTCCAAACCATGCTGCCATGAATCATCCACCTCACACATACACCATACCCCCCAACCTTCTGGTCCCTCCTTATTTGTTGTCTTCCCCCATTAGAAAATAAACATTTCAAGGGCAGGGACAGTTTTGCTTCCTTGAATTTATTTATATACCAAATGCTTAGTACAGTGGCCAGAAAATAATAAGTGCTTTAGGTAATGTTTTATTTTTCATTCATTCATTTGTCCACAAGAGTCTCTACAGTTGTATCCAACTAGCCAAGAAACAGAGGAGATGGATACTTTCAAGGATTAAAGTAACACAGTTTTGGAGTTTCTGAGATTGAAAATAATTTGATAAGAAAAGGGGGGGAGAGATAGAAGGGAAGGCAGATTAGGGGAAGAGGTATTCAGAATGCATGCCATCTTGGGGTGGGGGGAGGGGCGAGATGGGGTGAAAATTTGGAACTCAAATCTTGTGGAAGTAAATGTTGAAAACAAAAAAATGAATAAAAATCACCAAAGTTAAAAAAAAAAAGAAAAAAGAAAATAATTTGAGTGCAAGCAGGTCCATTCCTAAAGATAAAAGACTAGTCTAAGGCCTGTGATATGGTAACAAGCAACAAAAGACTAGAGTTACTGCTGAAGTTGTTATAGAGTTCAAGATTCTGATTACTTAAAATTAGTTTTTTAATGCACTAACTGGCACAGATTTACTGTTAATCAGCCCCTTCTACACCGATCTAGAAGAGAGGTGTCAAACTTGGGAACCAGAAATGTTTAATAAAATAAGTAGAATTGCAATTCAACCTGGTCAATAATAATTGGTGGTTTTCTAAGCCAATATGCAATCACTAAGATCTGTTTGTATTTCAGTTTGACACCACTGATATAGAACATATATCCTTTTTTTAAACTTTGCCTGTTGTTTAGTTACCAAAAACCAATGCAATACAGTAGACAAGCTGGGGCATGCCTGCCTTTTTAATAAATCTCATTCAGCACAATTCCTGTTTATAGCATAATACCCACTTCTAAGTGTGTGTGTTATTTCACTTTGATATGGCATTTATATAATTTTGTTAATGCCTTTTTTTTTACACAACAGTCATTTCCCCACATATTACTCACCACATTGAAATTTCCATAACAAAGAAAAACAACTACATAAAACCAACACCAACATAGTGACCATGTGGCGTAACATTTACAACCTGTAGTCTCCTCCTTCTCCAAAAGAGCTGGGAGGGTGATGTGTTCTCCAGAACTGATATTGGTCAGTCCTAATTAGTCACAACTCAGCTGCCTTTTAGATTTGCTTTCATTAACGTTAGCGTAGTAATTGTAAAAATTGGTCTCTTAGTCTAGATATATTTAGAAAAACAATAAATTGTTATGGCAACATGAAAATATCTGATTTTCAATGCTAACATATGGCAACTTTAACCATTAAGGAAAAAAGAATTTGCCTTTTCAAGGTGTGTCTTATGTGACTTCTTAAAGTTCTAGTATGCCATTACTTTACCCATTATTTATATGTTAGAATTAATTCTAAATTATGTGTGGCGATAGACAAAAGAACAGAAAAGCAAAAAAGTAAAAAGTAAAGTAATTTGCAATTACTTTAAACAAACCTCATATGAAATTGAACAATTAGGACTAGTTTTCATTTTCATGACCTCTTTTTTCTCCTAACCTCACCATCTTTTAGTAAAAATACTAACAAATAGTGGCACAAGGAAATGAATAAGCCAGAAACTAGAAAGTCAGTTCTGAAAAATTAGGAGGTAAGGATGACAAGTTAATCATGAAATTTATTATCTTTTATTCATTAAATTTACCATCTACTTTTAACCCTCAAATTAGGTGCTGCTGACAGCACATTTGTTTCTATATTACAGGAAGCTTTTTTTAAAAAACAAATTTACTTACTATTAGTACATATGAAATTTCCCATCTATGGCACTTAAGGTCAAACCTATAGTCAATAAAAACACCTTAACTCTATCATCTTTAAATACAAAATTTACATCCTATGTGTGGGGTAAACACCACACATAATTTAGAAATCCATGTTAAAAAAAATAAGTTTTGAAGGTCACAACTAACATATATAGTACCACTGGAAACAACTTCAAACAAGTTTGTGAAATATTCTTTCTTAATACAAAATGTTAAACCACCAACACTGCTACTTTACCAACTATTAATCAAAAATTTAGAAACTCCTTGCTTATGTCTTACCTCTTTTACAATGTTACTCACTTCATCAACCACAAAAGAAGTCTGGCAAGAAAAAAAAAGTAAAATTAAACCTATGTAAAAGATTCAATTCCATTTTATGCAAGTTTTCCCACTTAATACAAGGTTAGATAATGATTACAGAATTTTTAGAAATGGAAGGGATCTTAGGGAAATCTGGGCCAACCTCTTCCTCTCTTCCATCCCCATTTTACAGATGGAGGAAAAATTCAAAGTTGAAATGATTTTCTCAAGGCCCCACTATTAGTGGCAGAACTTCCATTCAAGTTGTTTTGTTTTTGTTTTTAATTATACAACAAAACCTGAAGACTGTCAGATTTTACTGTAAACTAGACTATATCTATAATTATATGGTTTAATTATAAAAACAAAAACTTTTAAAGTTACCTAGCCTAGCATTTTAAAGGCCACTGTGAACTGAGTAAATTTTGACTTGCTAGGTTTAAGCAATCTTTTTTTGAAAATGAAAAGTATTAGAAGTTTTTATATTAAGACACTATGATTTTATCAGTATGGGACTCACTCATAGATGCTGAATTCAACCAGCTGCTTTAGTAGATGGTCTTTGAAAAGATGTTGTGGTCAAAAAAGTTATCACCCTGTGCCAAACTGTTGATGAGCCTCTCCAAACTTAGCTAGGGTCCATACTAAAAGCTTTTCCAGCTTGTTGGACCTGTCACAGCTTAAGGACTGCTAGCACCCAGCCTCTGAGAACCAGAGTTACCTTCATTCCACAGGAAGGTACTGGAGCAGAACTTTAGTAGTTAATATTTTTCCATATGACCCATTCCCTAAATGCAAATATAACAGGATTCTATGATCCTATCACAGACGTAAGAGGTAGAAGGGACCTTAAAGGTCATCTAATCCAAAACTCTCATTTTAAAGGTGAGGTTAAATGACTTGCCTAATATTACATAAATGACAGAGCCAGAATATAAACCCAGGTCTTCTAACTCCAAATTCAATACTCTTATAAAAAGAAAAACCAATCCAAGAGGTCAGAAACCATCAGGTTTAATTTTTTAGATGGGTTTCCAGTATTACCTTCTTGATACTGTTACTAGTTTAAATAAGCTTCCAAGCAGTTGCTTCCTGTGATCTACCCACATACCTTAAAAAGAGGCAGCACTTGGTTATCAGGTGCTAACTTAAAGTTTTACTCTAATGAACATAACCCACAGAAACACAATAAGTTAAGATTTACTACTTATCATCATCAATAGGAAAATTTGCAACAACTAGATAATAGTCAATTCCTTACTGTGTATCCTTTAAGTAATAGTTGCTGTCCACAACCCAGCTATCATTACCAGCCTTGGTCCAACAAAATTACTTGCCTCTCAGAAGTTACACTGGGGAGATGGTTTTTTGTTTTGTTTACCAATGCACTCTTCACTGGCAGATAAGAACTGACTGCATATTTACCTGACTTCTAGTATTCACAGGAAACAATTTATTAGAAACAAACCATCTTGTTAATGGAAAGGACCACATAACGAAACATTTTTATTGCTCCAGGAAGTCTAAATGACCCTTGAGGAACAGCTTTAATGAAATCTGAACCCAAAAAAAAAGGAAGAAAGAAAAAGTAAAGCCACTTGTACAAATTTCAACAGAGTGGAATGTGAAAGAGGCTTTAAAAAGAACTTTTAAGGGGGTAAGGGTAGGATAAAGGATAGGACGGAAACTGTGATTTTACTGGTACAGGGAACTTCAAAATGGAACTCTTCCTCAACCATTGAAGATTGGCACTTCTTTGCAACTTATAGTCTAAGGGAGTTACAAAGAGCATTGAGAAGTCAAATGACTTGCCCAAGATCCCACAACTACTATGTATCAGAAACATTACTTAAACCCAGGCCTTCCTTAAACTTACTTGGATAATTTCTACTACAAATATGCATAACATGAAAGTGCAATTGTAAAAGATCACACTATTGGGTGAAAATCGAGGGGAAAAATGAAGTTTTCAAAAAATTACACTCATTATTCATATTGTACCATGCCATTCTCCCAAGATTATGACTGCATACCAAAGGTTTTCCTTGGTTTGTTAGACAGTTTCACAAATATTCTTTTAACTATCATTAATATTAGTATTAAGAAATATGTTGCACAGGTAGAAAATTAGACTATTCAATCTTAATTATGAAAACCCAAATTTTTCAAACTGTCTTTTAAATGAAAAAAGGTGGTAAGCACTTTTTAAAAATTCACCTATAAATTTCAATAGAACATCCTTTTGTTTGAATTTTAAGCAAAACAAAGTAATTTGATGTTAGCATGAGTAACTGCCACACAGTAAAGATCTACTATTACACTAAATGGTTATACATTGCAGCAAACCCACTGCAAAAGAACACCGTAAAAGATCGGTATCTTGTTATGCAAATTAATCCTCCTGTATTTTGGGGGAGAAGCAATAAAAGACCATGCTGTTTTCAAAGTCAAAAAAATGAATGAAATACAAAAATCTACTGGCCAATCCTAGATGTACCCCACAGGACGGAAGACAAAGGAAGCCCTTCACATGAAGCATTTTTGCATTGTGCAGGCAAATCCACAGCTATCTTAAGAAAGTAGGGATCATTTGTTGTGCAGGAATAAGTCGTTTGTCTACAGTAAGACCAATACAGCAGACTGACAGGTGCTTTGGGCTACCACATGCCTGAAAACAGAGTATTATCAGTTAAAAAAAAAAAAAAAGCTGTCTTGAAGGAATAATTATTAGTCTACTTTAAGACCAATACAGCTGACAGGTGCTTTGTGGTACCACGCCCCTAAAAATAAAAGTATTGGGGAAAAGGTGTAGGGAGTAAGATTCAGCATTCCTGAATTAAAGGAATAATTTCTTCCCTTCTACTCATTTACTTAAAGCAGATCAATGGATCTAGATGGATGGTTAAGGCACATTAAATACTGGTAGAGGTGGGCGAGTCCCCCGCATATGCTACTTCTTTCTCTTCTGCAGAATGGAAAGTGCACCAATAATCATGATGCAAGGCTTCCCGGGAAATCGGAGCTTACTCGGTTCACCTTCCCGTTTTCAGCCTTCAACAGATAAAGCCGGCTTCTTTTAAAATACGCAGCGCATATTTGTAAATACGGTCAAATACCTAAGATGTATGGATTGGTTTTGCTGACCTGCCTTTTCTGTTTGTTTGCTTTGTTTTGTTTTAATAATCTTGGTTGCAAGGGACGGCTCGCTAGGGTAGGGAGATGTAAAAACAAAAGACAATTTTTTTAAACCAGTGTTTAAACTATTATTATAACCATTAGGAGTACGGCGGATTAAGGCTTCCCAAGCAAGCCTCTCTCTGAATAGGGAAGGTAGGTGGGGAGGGGGCATCCTCCCCCCAGCGCCCCCAACGTCTCCAGCAGCCCGAGGGTTCCCCGAGCTGCCGCTGGGGGTGGGGGCGGGGCCCCGGCCCCCAGTTCCACGCTCTCGGGGGTCAGCCGGTCAGAAGCGGGGGGGGGTTAGAGGGGCGGAGGCCGCCGGGGTCCGTCCGGTCAGGGACAAAGGAGAAGCAGGCGACTGCGCCCCCCGCCCCAGCCTTCAAGGCCCACCGCCGCCCCTCCTTTCCCCTTCCCCCTCACCCCCGCCTGTCATCTCCCCTCCGCGGATGCTGACCCGCCCCGGACCCGGGACCCCTCACCTCCTCGGAAGCCTGGAAATCGTCCATCTTCCCTGCTAAGCCGCCGCTGTCCGCGCGAGTACTACCCACCGCGCCTGCGCAATGCATTCTGAACGCCGCTCTCCCAGACCCCGCCCCGCCGCGGAGGCCCCGCCCCGTCCCGGAGACCCAGCCCCGCCCCGCGTGGCATTGTGGGCCGGAGAGCTTTGTGATGCCTGAACTTTCAAACTCACCTGTCAGTTTCCGGGCTCAGGCGTCAGGCGCAGGCGCGCTCTTCCCAGCAGATGCTCTCCTCTTCCCTGAGTTGCCCGGGGTGGGTGGACTAGGCTGAGGACAGGGAGAGTTGATGGATCCCTTGGGAACGTCTTCCCCGAGTTGCCAGGTTGCCTTGGAGTAGCTACAACAAAACACCAGGACCAGAAGGGCGGGGCCATTTACCTTCCCCCGGGGTAGTGAGCTGCGGGGGAGAGATGCCTGAGGCTCATGGCATCCTCTGACAGGCCCTGGGTCTGTCTGGGCTTGGAGGGATGAATGCATCTAAGGACAGCGAGCTCATTCACTCTTTGCTTAGCAAGCATTTATTTAACAGGTGTTGCATGCAAAGCGAAGTGCAGTGGGAGTGCTGGTGAGAGAAAGTTTAGTCTTTTTTCAATATAAGCAGCCTCCAGTAAAGAGACTGGAACGCTGTTGACCAACCAACGAGCATTTACTAATAGCCTGCTACATGGCAAGCATTGTGTTAGACTCTGGTGATACTTCAAGGGAATGGGGTCAATAGAGGGAGAGACTGAAGATCAGAGAGATAAAAGGGATGATGTTGAGGGCAATCTGCTGGAGAAGTAGCAAAGGGATCCGGACAGGATGCAAGTGGAGGGATTAATTTTGTCAATGAGAAGACTCACTTCTTTATCTGAGATCAGTGTGAAGAAGACTGGAGGAAGATTTTTGAATGGTGAAAGATGAGGAGAAAGGAAGATGGGGACATTCTTGGCAAATGGTCTCAATGTTTTCAATGAAGTATGATGTGAATTCCTTAGCTGAGAAACTTGCTTTGGGAAGCTTGAAGAAAGATGAGAATGTTTGGGATAGCTGCTGTGAGAAGTGGAATAGAAAACTGATTAGAGAACAGAATTTTTGTCTTACTGCAGTGAGGGACCAGTTGAAATGAGATAACACAAATTTGTTGTGTATGCAATCAGCCTGGTTTTATGATTTTCTCTAATTCTGTTCATCCCCATGAATAGGATCAAATGAAAATGATGGAGTAATCCAGAATTGGCTTAAAGGCAGGGTGTGATCAATGATAGGCCAAGGGAGCAAGGGATTCAAGAATGGAGTAATGTATAGAGTTGGTTCACCAAGGGGTCTTGATAGGGAGTAGAGGAGAACGAAGTCAGTGTAGGTGGAATAGGCTGGAAAGAACAGAGGGATTCAGGGAATAAAGGTCACAATGAGGACAAAGGACAGGGTTAGGGGTTGCAAATCTTGAAGAAAAATGTATTGATAAAAAATTATGATCAGTCATTCAATGTATTTATTTTTTCTTTTTGGTGAGGCAATTGGGGTGAAGTGACTTGCCCAGGGTCACACAGTAAATGTTAAGTGTCTGAGGCCAGATTTGAACTCAGATCCTCCAAGGCCAGAGCTCTATCCACTGTGCCACCTAGCTGCCCCAAACTCATTTGTTTTTAAGCACTTATTATGTGCCAAGCACTGTGCTAATCTCTGGAAATACAAAAGAAAGGAAAAAGAGTTCCTGTTCTCAAGGAGCTTACGCTGGAATGGAGGAGATACTATGCAAACAAAACAACTATGTACAAAGTATAAATGGAATAAATTAGAGATAATCAACAGAGGGAAGAAGGCACAAGCATTAAGAGGGATCAGAAAAGGCTTTTTACAGAAGGTGGGACATTAGCTGAGACTTTATCGAAGCCAGGGAAGCTAGGAGACAAAAGTGAGGACAGAGGGAGTTCTAGGCACAGAGAACAGCCAGTGAAAATGTCTGGAGTGAGGAAACGGAGTGTTGGTGTAAGGGACATCAAGGAGATCAGTGTTACTGGATCCCAGAGTATGGGGTGGGGGGAATAGTATGTAAAGCATACGAAAACTGAAAAGATAGGAAGGGACTAGGTTTGGGGGGGGGGCTTTAGAAGACGAACAGAGGGTTTTATATTTGGTCCTGCAGGCAATAGGGAGTCACTGGAGTTGATCAAACAGAAATAGTAACGTGGTTAGACCTGCACTTTAAGAACAGTTTGACAGCTGAGTGGAAGATAGATTGGAAATGAGAGAGACAAGTCAGGGAGACCAACTCGTGACTAGTATTCTAGACATGAGGCATCAGGGTGGAGGCAGTATCAGAGGAGAGAAATGGGGGGAGGCAGTGCATACTGGAGATGTTACAAAAGCAGAAATGGCAGGACTTGGCGATTGTTTGAATGAGAGGGTGAGAAAAAAGGAGCTGGGGATGACACCTAGTTTGGGAGCCCAGGTGATTGGGAGGATAGTGGTGACAGTGAGAGAGCAGTTAGGAAGAGGGGACAGTTTGTAGGGAAAGATAATGAGTTCAGCTTTTAGTTTCAGACATGTTAAACTCAGATGTCTACGAGACATGCAGTTCAAGATGTCCTATAGGCAGTTGATGCAAAGCTGTAGGTCTGGAGAGAGTTCAGGACTGGACAAATATGATAATCTTCTCCACAGAAATGATAGTTGAATCCATGGGGTGATGATATCACCAACTGAAATAATATAAAGAATTTTATCAAAATCAAATAGAAATGGATCCCTGTGGGCCATATAGTGACTTAAAAACAAATTAACATTGTTTTATCGTATTTTTATATATTTTGTTAAACATTTCCTAATTAAATTTTAATCTAGTTCAGTCCCCACTTGGGCATTTTGCAAGTTTGACATCTGGTACTGAGGGAGAAGAGAAGACCCAGGAGAGAGGCTTGGGTGATACTCATGGTTATTGAGTGGGACCTGGATCCAGTTAACATGACTGAAACAGATAGGAGGAGAACCAGGAGAGAACAGTTTGGCAAAAATCTAGAGAGAAGAGAATGTCAAGGAGGAGAGGGTAATTGGCAGTGTCAAAGGCCATAGAGAAGTCAAGAAGGATGAGGAAGAAAAGGGGCAGTTATCTATGAAGACTAATGCACAGGGAACTAAACAAATGACTTAGATTTTTAAGAGACAAGTGTGCCTATACCCTAAGGAGATCAAAGAATGAGGAAAAAGAACCATAGATAATATGTAATATTTATAATGACTTTTTTGGGGTAACAAAGAACTGGAAACAAAGGGTTACCCATCAATTTATGAATGGCTGAAAAAATTATAGTGTACAGAATATTATTGCTCTGAAAGAAGTAACAAAAGAGATTCAGAGAAATCTAGAAAGGTTTATATGTATTGATTCAGAGTTAAGTGAGCAGAACCAGGTGAACAATTTTTTAAAAATAAATTTTAAAAATTTTATTTTCCATTCAAAGTTCTCTCCCTCCACCTCTCCCCCCCCCCACTCACTGGGGAAGGAAAGAAATATGATTCCTATTTTACATATGAAGTCATGTAAAACATATTTCCTTACTAGCCATGTTGGGATAGGGGAAGCAAGATAAAGAAAGTGGAAAAAACATATTCTTTAATCTGCACTCAGAGTTCTCTCTCTGGAGGTAGATAGCATTTCTCATCATTAGTTCTTAGGAATTGTCATGGACCATTGTATTGATTATTGTTAAAATATTGCTGTTACTGTGTGCAGTGTTCGAGGAGACCAATTTATATTGTTAGCTTTACCACAAATTCCATGAAGCCATTGTTGAACCAGGAAGAAGTTTTATTAATGGCCTGGGAAGGCCGGATGTCCCACATGTGTCAACAAATACACACCTTTTTATTCCCTATTCCCCATTTGAATTTCCCTCCCGTTTCCCCCTTTGGTTGGGTACTATAGAGGTTACAGCCTATTCGAAGCACCTAATTTTCCCAAGTGAGTTTCCGCCCCATTTACATCTCCCGCTTTCCACAATTTGGGGACCCTAGCCCTTATTTACTTTTGCCCTTTTTTGGGTATGCTCACACCCTTTTTGCTTGGGATACAGATACGTTTATCTTTATCTAACCTCAGAACCTGTTTTCGCTGTTTAGTCTTTTCACTCACCAATTCTACTTTATGGCTTCCTTTGTTCAACTTCCACCTAGCCCCTAGATTACATTTTTGTGGGAATGAAAGCTAGCTATTCCTTCCCAGTTTAAACTGACTCCAATGTTGTCACATAGGCATTCACTCCCTGATTGAGTGATATGCAGAAGCAACATCCCCAACCACATTTTCCACAATACAGTAACAACATTGTAAAAAAAAAAAAAAAAGAACTTTGAAAAAAACTCAAGAACTTTGATCAATGCCATGAACAATGATTACTCTCCAGAGGATTGATGAGGAAGCATATTACTCACCATCTGACAGAGAAGTGATAGACTCATGGAATAAAATACCATGTTTTATATTTTATGTTTTATTAGGAGAGGTACAATGGGATTAGAGAAGTGCAAATGTTGATTTTCTAAAGAAGGAAGATAATAGGATCTGAAAATTATGGACTAGTGAGATTGACTTTAATTCTTGGTAAAAATTTTAGAATGTATTTTCAAAGGAATGGTGTGGACATCTAGAGAAAAGATAGCATGGCTTCATCAAGAACAGGCAATTCTAAACTAATTTCGTGTTTGTTTTCTTAAGTGAAGAACAGTGAAGGGTCTCAAGATCATGAATTGTGGAGATTGTTTGAAGAAACCAAACATGTTACAGCTAGAAAAGACTTGGGAGTTGGGGAATGGATTATGACTGTGTTAGTATTTGAAGGGCTGTTACATGGAAGAAAAAATAGACTTGCTCTGACTGGTGCCAGATTGCAGACCTGGAAGCAATGAATGGAAATTGCAAAGAAACAAACCTAGATTTGATATAAGTAAAAAAAAAAAATTCCCAAGAAGTAAAGCCACCCAAATGTGGAATGGGCTTCCCCGACAGGATGACTTCCCTTCCTGGAGGTCTTCATGCAAGGGCCTGAAGGCCCTCTGTGTTT